ATCATATTTTCTTCTAGCGGGCCATTATAATCCACAACGATAGCGTTTTCTTTGTCTTCCGCGCTTTCAAGATATTTGATGTCTTTACGATTCATCCCAGGCGATTTAATATAGGGTAATTCGGGTGGCATTCTGTATGGTTTGTTCGTTTCAATGTCAGGATCGGTATAAGGAGGGAAATGTAACTGTTTCTGCGGTTCTATATTCTGCTGCAGCATCGGAGGTTCTATTGATGGCGAATACTGTTGATAGCTGATATCATTGGGTAACATGTTACTGTAAACGGGATGCTGTATATGTTGCATATGTTGATGCACGTGTTGCGGTTGCTGAGAATGTAGAATATGTTGATTGTGCGGAGGCTGATGATGATGATTGTGTGGCGACTGGTGATGATGATTGTGTGGCGTCTGGTGATGATTGTGTGGCGACGGATGATGATTGTGCGGCGATTGGTGATGATTGTGTGGAGACTGATGATGATTGTGCGGAGGCTGGTGATGATGATTGTGCGGAGATTGGTGATGATGAATGTGCGGTTGATGATGCGGCATTTGACCATGAGGTGATTGTAAATGCTGCGGATGAGAAAGAGACTGATGATGCACAGGATGCATTTGCTGATGCGAGGGAATTAATTGCTGATGTTGCTGATGATGATGCTGATGTTGGGGATGGTGCTGCCGAGGATGCGGCTGCTGCACTTGATGATCATGATGTTGCTGTAATGAAAAAATTCGCATTACTTTCTTACTACTAGATCCTCTTCAAACAGAAACACACACATTTTACTTTCATTACTTTAGACTCTCGTTAAATCTAATACAAAACAAAAACTGTAGATGTATTTATATACATGGTTAATATGAAAACAAAGTATATAAATGTTTTAAATTCTTTACCTGCATCTGATAATGATAACTGTTTTGCAAACTGTGATTCCCATATCCAATATGTTGATCCTGACCAGAATAACTTTGATGCGGCGTATGATAACTTTGATGATTCTCTTGATCGTTATAAACCTGTACATTGTATCCTTGATGATGTTTGTTACTGACCATCGCATGTTGAGTCATAGAACTATCCATGTGTATGTCGAACGACAACTTATTTCTCGAATCTACCATTCTGGGTGCGACGGGAGGACTACGAAAGCGTGAAGCATTAACGGCCACATCTGGGGATTGCCACAGACCTTGCACAACCGAAATAGCTTCTTTCGTGTTTACAGTGAGACTCTGCCCGAGCAAATGTTCCTCAGTGTCAACAGGCAAAGATGAAGTGTGATGCTGGTGCATAAAGTTCGTCGACTGTAATTTCCGTTGTGTATTCAATTCTGCTTCCATTCGTTGCGCTTCGAGTCTTTCGGCTTCCATTCGTTGCGCTTCGAGTCTTTCGGCTTCCATTCTTTGCGCTTCGAGTCTTTCAGCTTCCATTCGTTGCGCTTCGAGTCTTTCGGCTTCAATTCTCTCGGTCTCTAATCTTTCCAGTTCTCTTTGCTCAGCTTCCTGTCGTTGAGTCTCTAAAACCTGATTCTCGACCTCAGCAGCATATTGCTGCCTTTGCAATTCTTGTTGCTCAGCCAGTCTTTGCCTACTGATCTCGACTTCTCTTCTTTGCTTCTGCTCTTCTATTTCTTGTAGATGATACATGTTTTCATAATTATTGAGCTGAGATTGGGATTCTCCACCAGTTTCACGTAAACAAACCATCGGCATTTCATGTTGCTTTTCCAGAAATTGTGCTCTTCTGTGTAAAATTATCGTATTATATATTGTAATTATTATGTGCAATAATTGATCGTATATTAAAGTAGTGATAATAATGTTTTTACAGGATATACAGAACATCAAATAATTTTCTCATTATGTCTTACAAAAAGCATAATACCTTTCCAAATAAAGCTGTGCTCTAATTTCTTCCATACTACGGTCGACATTATCGGCATAAACTAGTTCTTTGGGATAATGTGGTTTTTGTACAATATTTGGATCTATTGGGTCCGCTACATACACCGGCACTCTCAAACAGTCATGATATTTACTGCCGTCAAAAAAAGGTACGTGATTTGGGAATAATTTAATTTTCTCCATGTTACTGTCATCGTTCTGGTCTTCGTGAACTGCAAGTAAATAATAAGAAAACCTCATTGCTTTTCCGCAATAATTTGTCGCTTAAAAAAACGTATCTTATTATCATCGTTCTTACTCTTAAAGCCCGCCTTTACGGTAGGAGCTATTAATGGACCTCTCTTGCTCCCACTGTTCCATGGTCCAGGCTTGATGGTATTCTCCTTATGTACCATGTCCTCTATAGGTACATGATCTAATATGCTCGAACCCTTTATCTCTCCAGGTATGTCATCCTAAATTATAAGGTAATATTTTATTACAATTTACTTTTTACTTGTAAAACACAATAAATTATATTGCACTACAACTGTTAATTATACAGCTATCTTACCTGATATATTTGTATCTTAGAATTGGGCTTTGTATTCTGCATAGAAGCTGAGATTTGGGGTATAGTCCCAGGATAATAATCGCGTACGCGTTGACCCGTTCGTACGCTGCCGACTCTCTTACCAGCTCTTATCGCTCTTAATGAACTGAAAGCCTGACGTTGTTCATATAAAGCAATTTCGTTTCTTTCGTCGATACGTCCGAGTGTTTTGCGCGCCACAGCAAATTGGAAATTTCTATTTAAAAAAATGACATTGTAAATATTATCATATAGTATTTAACAAATTAATTGACTTATCGTATAAAAAAAAGTAATTCATACTGGTGAGCGTGGCTCAATTCTTCAAATGGTTCTGCATGAACGGACAGTCCCATTAAGTAAACTTCATCCGCTCGTTTGTCATCCTCAATTTGCTCTAACTCGAAAGCCCAGGCCCTGTACATGTCTGCTACTCTGGTTCCGATACCACCGCTATGCAACAGCTGATACAGCTCCAAAGGATTCTTTTGCATGCTTATCTACAAACCAAGTCTTATTAGCATGTATAGATAATACACAATTAAGCTTGCGTAAGATATTACTCACATAATTAATCCACAAACGTATATATCTGCGATCTTGATGATATTTTACATCCTTTTCAAATATCGCTAAACACTGCTGCAAGAGTCTTCCAATATGGGATTCATGCCCACTTTTTGGATAACTCTGCTCGACCCAGAGAATATACTCGTACCAGTTCTCTAAAGGATCATCTCCTTCGTAATTTTTAATCGCATCCTCATACATTCTAAATAAAAAAATATATATATAATAATTTTTAGCAATCCTATAAGATACATTTCTCATTTATGCGATATCATTTGTTAGTTTATGTAGAATTATAGCTGCATGCAAACGTCGTTAAATCTGTGTTTCAGGACACTCACTGCTTTTCCTGCAGCAACAACTGCTGCGCATCCGTGTCCTCCTGCGCCCTCAATGCGGTTCCCAATTGAGTGGCATTCCGCCCGTACCTCAACGGCTGGATATTCTCCTTGCACAGTGCTATCACCGTCGCAGGATCCATCTCTGACTCTGTTGCCTTTATCGCTCAGAGACTTCCTTATACACTGACAAAACAACAAAAAGTTCCACAATTAACGCAAACAGTACCAGAGAATATTCGGCGGCATCCCAATTGATCATACGATTATACACGTATAAAAATGTAAACATCCTTTACTTTACGAATGTCAATGGAACACCGGGGATGCGCGCGATACGTGTGGGGGAAGGGGGGGGGCGATTGTTATTCCCTCGCCGGGATTACCGTTTCCCCGAGAGTTTCGCGGAGTTCGACACTCGTCGACGTCGCGCGGAGAGGCATAACACGGATCGGCGGAGGAGCCGAGTAACGGGCGCGGGGAATTAGCCCGTGCTCGGGGAGCGCGGGGAAAGGTGGGGGGGAGGAGGAGGGAGGACGGCGCGCACACCCTCGCTTACCGCGGCTCTGGCATAACAGTCCCGCGATCCCGTGGCCGGACCTTTAAATTCGAACGAAACTCTGCCCCGAAAAACTCCAATAAGGACGCTATCGGGCCACGGATTAGGTTAGGTTCGGCGCTTTAACGGCTCGAGCGGTGCGGGGTGGGGGAGGGGGGGAAGAACCGCCACCAACGGTTTTAACTGTCCTCGGTTACAATGGTGCACTCTCCGCGGATATACTCTCGTCTCTCGTCTCGCGTCTCGCTCGCCTCTCACGTCCCGCCACGTCCCGCGCCGTGCCTCTCGCGTCACCCCGCGTCGTCGCGTCGCCTCTCGCGCCTCGCGCCGGCAAGTGGCGGTGGCGGAGAGTCTCGAGTCTCGATTCGCGAATCGAGCCACGATCGACGGACGACGTGTGCGCTCGCGGCTCGCGAAGTCAGCCGCGGTTTAGCCGTCGTGCCCGTGGCCCGCGCGAAATTTACCGATAGCCTCGGATGACGAACCTCGCATGACGATCCTCCTGGAGCCCCTGGAGGACGGCTCTCCTGCGCGCTACTGCTCCCTGCTCCTATAGTAACTCGGTTAGGGATCGTGCCAAAATTGGGTACATCAGTGACTCTCAACTCGGAGGCGGAGCGCCGAGCGACGTACGCTTCGACGGTCGTTTCGCGGCGCGCGAAAACCGTTTTTCGCGATCGTTTATTCGCGGCGATGCGTAAAACGCATCGTTTCGTATATATAACGCTCCGACGAAAATACCAATTTTCTTTATACCATTTCGGTTAGGTTTAATCGGTTTCAATTTTCACTTTCGACTCGTGTCTATCTCTCTCTCTCTCTTTCTCTCTCTTTCTCTGTTTCTCTTACCGCGAACTGATCGACGCGTTTAAACGTAACCTCCAATATCGCTCCGATCGTTACATGGCGGATTCGGTGGGCGGATGGGTTTTCGAAAGATCGCCATTTTGAATGATTTGTAAACGTGTCAATGGGAGGGAGGAGTCGAATAGAGAGAGAAAAAGAGGAATCTTTACAATGCCACGCGCTTGCGCGCGACGGAACTTTCTTGAAGAAAATTATGCACTATTTGTAATTCTGCAATTGAAAAAAAAAAATGATTACACAGGATGACAATTCGTATCGCGCACCTTGTTTGCATAACTCTCGAAGTTGACGTCTTATATCGAATCGATATATCTCGCTTGCATTCGAAAAGTTTTAAAATTCAAATTGTTGCATTTGTTTCAGATTGTCGCAATCTGAAAATTGTCATTTCAGAGATGATATTATTGATAAATTTAAAAAAATAAATAAAAATAATAAATAAATTCAATAGCTGCACTTTTTACGGCAAAGACCGATCTATTTTTGTTCGATAAATCCAACGTGACTTTGATAGAAAACTGAGATAATAAAGAATTTTTTAGACTTTATGCGCACGGTTGTAATTTAGAAAACAATAAAAATAATACATGTACACTTTTATTTAATATCATTCAATTCTGACATATATATATATATATATGACTATAATTGTGTAAAGAAAACATCTATATATAATTTTTTAATTATGTTTTTTTAATCTCAGGTCCGATTATTGAAGGATTCACGAGGCGATATTGTAAATCTAAATAATTTAAACAAAAAAATTCCTGTGTACAAATCATGTATAAGACGACACGTCAGAGGATGCTTTCTACGTTATTGTACCATAAAGGAATTGTCAGGGGAATAACGAACACCTCGATGCGAAAAAATCCGCACTACGTGCTGAGCTACATTTTCCTGGAATATCTGCACCGTAGATTTCAAAGAATGTCCACGCAGGATCTCGAGTGGGCCACATTGCCGGACGCGGCTTTAAAACGTATACTGGGCGATCCGGAAATTACGTGGAACGAATACGTCGATTGTGATTCCTGTGCGGTAGCAAATGTACAACTTTCGAGGAAATCGCCAAATTCCGCCTGGTTCAACGTGTGCTCGATGGCGTCAATGACGAAATATAAATTAATGATTTTATCCGTGCCGGATATTGGTGAAAACATTGTCCTAATCTCTGAAACGATGGAGCGCAATCTGCGAAAAGCTCTTCGCTGCGAACAACTGGACGGCTCGTGTTTCATGCGTAAGTACCTGCAGCTTACTAGATTTTCAATTTAAATTTTAAATTGTTAACTTAATTCTAATCGTCTAACACATCTTTGGCCGCCAAACTTAATTAAAATACGTAAAAAGGTAACATTTATAATTCTGTGAATATAATTAATATTGAAGTAATACTTAATCTAAAATCTACAGCTTATCGGATTTCCAATTTAAATTTTAAATCGTTCACATCTTCGAACACATCTTGAACATTACCAAACTTAATATAAAAATGCGTAAAAAGATAATTAGTTATTTATATAATTCTGTGAATATAATTAATGTTAAAGTAATAATCGAAACTATACAAACGTACTACGCATGATAATTTTGTGATTCAACCATATTATGTTAATATTTTGTCGAAACGTGAATTTAATAGTGAAAATTTCACTCCGGCATAAACGTGGAGACGTGCGAATTAAGTTTGGCATGTTTTTTCCGCGATTCTCAAACTCACGTCGTGATCGATCAACGACAACCGATGATGCACAATTAATGCTTTGCGCGATCTGTTTTCAGTACCGTTGGAAGACGACGCGATCGAGTTTGCGACCGAGGCGAGAATATCCTTAATCGCCAATCCGTACGATTGCCCGACCGAAACGCTAGACGTCATGTTACAAAATTACTTCTTACATCCCCGATTTTTGCACGTGAACGATATGTTCAGGATCGACACGAAGGAACACGCTCAGGATCAATTTTACTCGTCTGGTTCCTTGAGAATCTCCGCGATGTATTTTATAGTTAGAGCTTTAAAAGTGAATCGTAACGGGCACAGCAGTAGCGTTAACAGTTGCTACGTCGTGCGCGGAGAGTCAACGCTCATTCAGGAAGCGCAAGTTCACGATTATATTCCTCGGGAACGTGTTTACTCGCTTCCCGATAGCGCACTTTTACGGCGAAACGGAGTGGCGCAAAAATCGCTGAATCGCAAATATCCGTCGGCTCTAATGGAACCCTTGGAACATTTAGAATCTTGCATTACGCCGTTTTTGAAAAAGGGTAAACAATAATCTTTACAGAGCTTAATAATGTTAGAGTACTATAATCGATACACTTATTTTTTTTATCGTTGTATGGATCTTGCAGACGTCCGATTGAACGTGAGACCGGTATTTCTTGTGAAAGGACCGCGGGGTTGCGGTAAACACGAGTTAGTTCGAGCAGCATCCAAGAGATTGGGATTGAACTTCCTCGATGTTGACTTCGTGGAGGTGCAGACTTTAACGTCAGCGCAGACCGAAGCTAAGCTTCGCATAACGCTGCAAAATGCGCAACAATGCGTGCCATGTATACTATATTTAAATAATGTTCAAGTATGTTGAAGAGAGTAATATCGTATTGAATTTTGAATTATTTTGTGTTTTTGATCGTGAGTTAAACGGCGCTTTCGCAGATATTCGGTAAGACTGCCGAAGGCCAGAAGGATGAAAGGGTCATATCTGCCTTCTCGGCAGAAATCACCGCGTTGTACAACAGACGCCGAAAATTTCCTCTGATTATCGTAGCCGCGTCGGACGAGACTGATATACCCGCGGAACTGCAACGGATATTTATCGAGACGATTCACGTGAAGCATTTAAATCAGAACAAACGAGCGGAACTGATATCTTGGCTGCTGTCTAACAGGAATCTGACAACTACCGCGGATCTATCAAAAGTAGCTGGTCTTTGCTCGGATTTTAAATTCGCGGATCTATTAGCGTTGTCACTGCACGCAGCTAAATTTCGGTGCAAATTAACGTCGCACGGTCAAAAGTGCATATTTCCCCTGGAACAAGAAGATTTCGATCGAGCTTACGGTACATTACCTTACAATCGATTTTAACAAGATCAGAAACGTTCTTCTAAATTCTGAACTCTTAAATTATGTTTAATATATCTTTTCTTTGTGTAAAAAAATCAGAATTTGATCTTGTTAAAATTGAAAGTACAACATTTTGTTTTTTGTGCGGACAGTATAATAGAAAATATATTTTCAGAATATATGCAGTCCGTATACTCCGATAGCAAAGGCGCTCCACGCGTGCCGGAAGTTCACTGGGAAGACATAGGCGGTTTGGCAGAATTAAAACACGAGATTATGCGCAGGATTCAGTTGCCTCTATTAAACGCTTTCGGTTTTGGACAATCCGGATTACTATTATATGGCCCGCCCGGTACCGGAAAGACTCTTCTCGCTAAAGCAGTAGCGACGGAGTATCAGATGCACTTTTTGTCGATTAAAGGCCCGGAAGTCCTAAATATGTATGTCGGTCAAAGCGAGAAGAACGTAAGACAAAGTACGTTTACTTAGGAAAAAAAATATGAAAAAGCTATGATAAAAACCTGTAACAAAGAATTATTCGCTTTAGTCAAGGAGCAAAGTAACAAGTAGCTTTCATTGTCCCACAGTTTTCGAGCGCGCGCGTTCCGCGGCCCCTTGCATCGTCTTTTTCGACGAGCTGGACTCGTTGGCGCCCAATCGAGGTAGAAGCGGGGACAGCGGCGGCGTGATGGACCGCGTGGTTTCCCAGTTACTCGCCGAGATGGATGGCCTCGAGGAGTCCGGCAGTATATTCATCATAGGAGCTACGAACAGGCCCGATCTCATAGATCCCGCGCTGCTTCGACCGGGAAGATTCGATAAGATGCTCTACGTTGGTATCCACTCTGATCGCGCGTCTAAACTCAGCGTCTTGGAGGCGCAGACACGTAAATTCGAGTTCCGAGAGAGCGGACGGGAATTGGAACGGGTCGTGGATCGATTGCCCGACAACGTCACCGGCGCGGATTTATACTCGGTCTCTTCCAACGCGTGGCTCAACGCCGTACGCGAGATGCTTGCAAAGCATCAGAAAATCGAGAAAACCAATAAGGATCACCCCGTCGAAGAGGAAGATGTAATTAAGGACAATGTTATCGTGGAATTGCGCCATTTTTCAGATGCTATTTGCGATTTAGTACCGTCAGTTACTGACGAAGAGATAAAAAGATATAACAGAATGCGGGTAGAATTATCATCGTCGTAATTCCGGAATCGTTTCCTAAGGAATAGTACAAAATATATTTCTAGTTCTTAGGGTTTCTCGGTATTTTAAATAATAAATAACGAGACAAATTGTAGAACACATTGTATATAATGTAATAGAATGTAACGAGTGGTTTGTCTGTAAAAAGGTATATAATCTCGCAATGAAACAACGCGCGATGTTATAAACGACATGTTATTTTATTTCGAGAAGTATGTAAAACAATTTTTACAGCGAATAATTAAAACGAAGGAGTCAATCTACGTTCATTATGTATTATCTTCAATTGCGTGTTGTGTCGACTAACGTTACTCCATGTCAGATCTTCAGACGTTAACGCGCGATGAGAAGCGCAAAGGTGTCGGAACCCTCATCCCCGTTTTCGAGGTACGCACCGGCATACCTCGAGCGCTTTTCACGCGTGTGCTCGGTATATTATACAGTACACAACGACCAGAATATACAATGTAGAAAAATAGGACACCTAATTTTACCGTATGCACCCGTGCGAACGTCGAATCCGAAGATGAAGGCTGAAAATTCTTCTCAGGGGTGGAAGGCGATGCTGCGACTGATGCGATTAGGTGCACAATAAGAAGCGAATAAAATTATCGGGTGCATCGGTTCTCAATATCGACGGGATCGCGCGGTAAATTTCGACACTGGCGATTCTCCCGTAACGCTACGGTCGTCACTCGAGTTTGCAGGATGAACCGTGCCCGCTTTTCGTAACAGCGCGCGACGCTCCGACAAGACGCGCCTCTCCGCGATAAGAAAGAAATTCAACAGTAGCATTGAATATCGTATCTAAATATATATTAATTATATTACTATACGATGGTTCGCCTTGTCTGTGTGTGTGTATGTGTGTGTGTGTGCGAAACGCGTTAGAATGATCGTTAAACACGTTTGACGAGCGACACACCTGATAACGTTGTTTGTATTATATCGGACGATCACATCGTATAATACCTTTGGTATAATCGCGAGGTAGTAATTATAACTTTTCGTCGTGCAACCGTCGCGCAGAACACACGCAGAACGGACGTTTGCATCGTCGTTCCAGAATTGATTCGCAATAAGCGCCTCCTTGTCGTCACGACGAATGATCGCTTTTGCAAGCTGGCAAAACCGCGCAGGATTCCGCTGTCGTTCAGTATCTAATCTCGCTGTTCAGATCTGCCCTTTCGCACAGGACGAAACAATTATGCATTTGTGTTTGAGCATCTACCGGAAGGCGTAAATTAATGTAAAGCGATACGCTTGGTGTATCTCGATACGGCATTATTCTCGACTTGGCACGACCGTGCAACGAACTTCCACTCGTCATCGCCAAGTACGCCTCATTATCGTCGCCTGATGAACACTTGTTCTCGTTTTCGAGTATTCTCCATTAAGATCCGTATGTACACGATCCTACAGTATATCCGTAACTTCCCCGATCGAGTCGCGCGCGGTCGAGGTGCGTTCTCATCTCGAGGTCGTCAGAGCTGCGAACTTTTGATATTCGGCACATTGCTCTTCCGCGTTCGGAATTCGGTTCGACTTTTGTCCTCCTCTCCTCCTACTCAGCGCGATCAGAAGCCGATAGATATCACATACGGTGGATACGCGTAATTTGTGTAAGCGCACGTTCGCCACGTGTGCGAAAAACGAAAAGCTTCGGCGTAGATTTCGGATCTAGGATGTGCCAATATATTGTGCGCGTTACTCTCTAAGGCTAAATCGTGCCTTGACGTAATTCTCTCAGCTAAGATCAGAAATCACGAATGTGGATTAACAATTTTATACACCTGAATCGTTATTTTGTCGCTTTTGTATTCTCCCCGAGGTATCTTGCGTGCGTGTAAATTTCGCAGCGCTAACGTGTATGGAGGACATTATACATAATATTTATTAAATAGCAATATATACACATATATATATTGCTACTACGCTTTAATTTGATGAGGGAACGGTATAGATTAGGGATTACAAAATTATATTTCAGGCATTTTTCGTCTAACGTACTTTCGGTCAGTACTATCGTTACACATTTATATAGCGAAGTGTCTAGCGAACCGATGCTCTATATAGAATATACGGGTAGAACATTGTATTGCCTTCGATTGAATGTGTAATTTCTAAACGTGTTTTCGATCCCGGAACAACGCGACATCGGGCCGACATCGTTGTGTGTCGTGAGATTACGCTATATAATACAAAATGTGGAAAACGAGCGACCGAAGACTTTCGAGGAGCGCTTTCCGACGTACGTGCAAGCGAAATCTCTTTGCGCAAAATGTACAATTAATCTTTATCTTAAGTATATCGAGGAACGAAATAGTAACTACGCCTAGTAGAGAGATTACTATAAATAAGGAAAGTACGGGACACGCTATTCTGCTCGTGCTACACGTGTGGTTCGTGAAGACATACTTCGGCAGCCGCAAGCTGTCTTTGGTCGGTCGTCGCCTTTATTTACATCTGCCGCTTGCGCGCCGCGTGCGCGCAAAATCATTCGCGATGCGAACAATCTTCCCTGTGTTTGGAGCCTCATTAAAGGCTGCCCGAAAGTCGATATGCGACGAGGAAAGATCCATGAAACGTGCACGATGCTCGACGTTCTTGAGAATGCTTCAAGGACCTTCCGTCGGAATTTCTCCACGGTTACCCCGATGACTCTTTCAACGCTCACTGTCCGCTCGCAAGCGTGTCTTTTCCACTCGTTTTAAGACGTAAAACGGAACGCCGCCGATACCGTATACGTGATGAGACGCTCGGCGAAAACGCGCGACGTATCCGCGAACGCATCAGAGGTGGGATTTGCAGGAGTTCGCGCGTGTTTCCTGTCAAAAGTACCGTCTGGCAGGTAAGGCCGGTCACGAGACCTCAGTGTTCGGCCCTGCGATTAGATCAATCATATGTATCTTTAACATTACAATCATTTTCGTGTGGTAATATCTCAATCTGATATTTTAGATGCGTGATACACGAAGCGCGAGGGACGACACCGATATAAATTAATTATATTCGGGCTATACTCGTCACATCCAAGTGAAATGGTCGCTACTCAGCACAAACCGAGTTGAAGTATTCGCGAACCCGGAAAGGAAAATACTTCTCTCTGAGATTTTCACTCTGCACGGCTTGAACGTATGCCGTTCATAGCGCTTCGTATTCGCCAACACATTCGTTGCGATTGATGTCGTTTGTTTGTACCTGGTCAGGAGGATTTCGTGGCGAACTCGTGCAATATGTCACACGCCATCTCGAGATCGTTCCTGGTGATGCCGAGCGCCCTGATCACGGCGTCCGGCGCGAAACCGAGCGCCGTCAGCCTTGTGATATGCTCGACGTTGACGTTCTCGTACGCCGCCGACTCCGACTTGGTCACCGGTCCACCACCACCACCACCGCCGCCGCCGCCGCCACCCGGATCATCCCTCGCCCTCATCAGTGCCGTGAGACGTGCCCTGTTCGCCTCCAAGTTGATGTTCTTCACGACGTGCTGACTCGTGCCGGAGATCACGATCGTGTTTTCGTAATGGTGATCCTGACGGGTGCCACCCTCCTTGCTAGCCTTCGGCGGCCGTGGCGCCGACAAGGGTGGCGGTACGGGAGGCACGTTGTTACTCGGACCCCCGGTTTGACTCGTCGTCGAGCTGGTCGCGGTGGCACGACACGCCTTCTCCGGCAACGTCGGCGGTGGCTGCGGTTGTCGCTGCGGCGTGCCCCCCGCGTGATTCCCGTGAGACCGGCGTGGATGAACCCTCACCACCGCCGTCGGTGGCACGGGCGGTATCGGTGGCACCGATGACGGCGAGGACGCGCGGTGCAGCATGTCGTATCTCGCCTCTGTGTTAACTGCAAGCATTGAACATTTTTACCTTGCCTTCCGAACATTAGGCATTCATCGCGCGATTTGTACGTAATCTCTATTCTCAGAAACCGCATTTATTGCCATAAAGCAGCTTACATTATTACTTTCTAAGAAAACCAGGGCGTAATATTAGTCTTGAATTATTATAAATTGAAGCAATTACTTAGCAAGGCTTGCGTTTGTTAAGAAGAGTACTTTGCTTTATCAAAAAGATGAAATTATATTACAACAATCATACTTCAGATGAATACGTCGCTTATCCGCTTATGTATTTTCATCACGATCCATTGCTTTTACGCGATACGTACAGCATTAGAAACTGTATTCTGTACCTTTGTTATTTTGTTGAGTGTTATCGGTATAATTCAATATCACTGTGACCGCCGATGGCGGCGGCGGAGCATTTTCCTTCGGTACTGTCAGATGACGTCCGTTCCTGAGGTGATTGTTTGGTGTGGGTGATGGCGAGGGTCTTCTAGGTGGTAAAGGGGGACTCGAAACAATCCTCCGCGGCGGCACCGGCGAATTCGTGGGACTAGAATCATCTTCCTCATCCGAGTCGTCGCATATGAGACCGCAATTGCCGTTGCACAGCTCCATTATATCCTAAAACATTAGCAATAGGAAAAAAAACTGTTAACGCTGAATTCCGTTATATGGCTGAGAAAGTATTTACGTTCATACAAAAGTTGAATTAAATAACTTGACAATCCTAATTACCTCTATTATAAATGGAATGATTTAAAATTGTTGTATATTTATAGCTATAATTATCTTACAGCTACTTCTGAATAAAATTACCTAAGGCGATAGAATTTAGATCATTCCACTATCAACACAAATAATCAGAAAGTTACATGCTTCGTCTTACATATCACAAAATAAGATGAGATTGCCGGTAAGATGAACTGACTTTCATATCAAGAGTAAAAAGAAAAATAAATTTACAAATGTCTCGAATTTAGATGACGAGGTTGCTGAATGTTTATAATAAATTACTTGCATGTACAAATAATTTTTAACTCTTTTTCTTTCTGTAGCGACAATATTACCTCTATTGTCAATCTTAAATCGTCTTGCAAACGAAGCTTTAACTCTTCCAGCAACATTAGATTAGATATTTCACTCTAAACGAGAAGATACATTATATGGAAAATTATGAAAGAACAAGCATGATGATTATGATCGTATGGAGATTTCGCGAGAAATGATAATTATACCACCTCTTTTAGTTCCAACTGAGGGAACATATGCGATTACTCTCCACGAGGTGACTTCCTGCGGTTAAATCTTCCTGAAGGATTCCTCGAAGCAAATAAAGCGATGAATCGTCTTCTGCCTTGAAGCTGTAGCGGTCGATCAACTATTTTTACTTTGAACTTTTACAAAATGTTGGCGTTCGAATTGTCGATATTATTTTTACAAGGAAAAATAATCCGCTTGCAAAAAAAAGGGGAAGATGTACAAGCACTGCTGCGATGGTCTACGAAGATACAAACAAAAGATCTTTTACGTTTTTGCGCGATTCGATGCGACAATCAATGTCCTCGTGTAAATTATTGAAAACAATCTAAATCGCAAGAATAATCATTTCGTACTTCAAGACAAGTGGTTTCTCTATTGGCGTGTCGTCATCGCGCGAGAGAAAAAGTTCTTCGTCGCGAACGAAGCGGAAACGTCGGTCGAGTGTCGTCAATCTCCTTCTTCCATTCGATGCAACCGTCGTGAATCGTCAAATGCGAGTAACGTTAACGATAAAAAAAAATATGAGCGTAAATTACAAAGCGGTAGAAGCAGACGGTCATAATGCATGTTATCACTTACCTGTGACTGCGCGACTGTCGTGCGACTTCCTCCCAGTCAGAAGACATGTACATTACCGATTAGTTTGGATCATGCAGCGGGTAGTAGAGCAATGTGACCCCAGTGTGTGGATAACATTATATGAAATAAAAGTAAACGATCATGCGAACGGATATATAAAAAAGTTGTCGTTCCCGGAGGTTCTCCCTCTGGCTGCTGGAGGAGCAACCTGATGCAGAATCGTATTCAATAACGAAAACTAGAGAATCTAGCGTAGTAAGGGATATTTGCGTGGCGCATACACGGAGTGCAGAAGTAACTCGAAGTTAAATGGCAATACAATTTTATTATAAAAAAAAATTATTCTCAAGTCCCTAGTATTTTACAATGAATAGTACGCTACTCGGCGAACGTACGCTAAAGTTACGTTTACGAGAATTGGTCCGATCTTACGCGGCGCACATACAGGAGGGGGCTTCGCAATTAGCAGCGTGCGCCCTTCATCGTATCGCTAATAACTAAAGCGCGAACGCGCTCTACGTGATCGTAATACGATCTGAAATAGCCGGGGTAAAGCTAAACGAGGTCTAAATTGACCAGTCCGCCAATAATTGTGCTATAGAATCAAATCGATTCCTTGCTTACACCGCAATGGGCTTAGTTGCATGCATTATGCGTTACAAAACTTTACAAAAGTGTCTTGCATTAAAAACGTACGTAATACCACAGCATTCGATTTAGCGCGCGACGACTGGTATATCGAAATTATCTGAAACGTCTTTTTCTTTCTTTTTTTCCCCTTTTCGGTACAGTATACGGAATAAATAATAAATTAATATTTTAACGTAAGGAAATAATATATAATAACGCTGGAAACGAACCGTTTCCATAATAATGCTGACGTTAACATGACATTACATTCGTGCCTATCGCAGCAGGTACACAATACGTTCTAACGTGGATGTATAACGATGTTGAACGGTCTTTTCGAGTCCGCATGTTCAGTGCGTACTACCTTGCTCGATCATCGCATATTACATCGTTTCTCTTTTCCCTTATCGCTTAAAGGCTATATTTAAAGGCTTAACAGTACATATCTTTTCCTTTTCAATTTCGATATATGAGTCATAGAGCTGTTTTGTTCTCGATAAAATAATCATTCGTTATCGTAGCACTTGAAGGTGTGGAAACGCGATAATAAATACTTCTTGACCGTTGAGTAATGTCGAGATAAATAATGTAAACAATTTAATGTGCAATTAAAAATAGATTGTAATTGATCGTTAACCGCGCGTTGGCGACAGTACTATTGATTATATTATACCTTAAATTATGTAAAATTTTTTAGCAATCTGCAAGTAATATCAGTTTCATCGCTTAATCATTCCCAATTAACGAAAAAGAAGTGCTTCTAAATATCGTGCTCATCCGTCTTGCAGTCTATCGAGCAGGTGAAAATTACAAATGCAATTTCGGTAGTGTGTTTATATTCAAATGTTTGCTCGCATGATCCATTTCCTTATGGATCTTTTTCTTATCCTTTGTATATATTGATTTAGATATAAGCCATATGTAATTATTTGTAAACCGTATAATCTTATGCATAAATAATATACACAAAGATTTGTCACAAGCATCAAAATCGTCTGTATGCACATACTAAAAAAAAGAGCGCTTTTAAAATACGCATATGCACATGCATTATGAATTTTATGGACTGAAGAACTTTTGACGACGTAAGTAAATGTAATGAACCCACTTTGTGGTTGTGGATGCCCCCCTGGTACATTTCTCTCCGCTGATAAATTAACGCATTATATAAGCGCGCGTTTATATAAATCTTGATAATTCCTCATCGAATCTCTATTGGCTCATCGTATGTTAGATAGAATTGTCCGAAAGCTATGATTGCGTATGCATAATCATAAATGACAGCGAAAATGGGTCATACACTAAGCCGTCGGCTTATAGCTTCCAATGAGGTGCAAGAAAAGCGAGTCTTACCTGAGAACCCCCGCGTAATTGATGAAATTTGTAATTATGCGATATAGACGATATAGATCTCAAAAAACGTGTTAGTTGCAAAAAAAAATGCGCGATAGACAAGGCTGACCGATCGGCTAACGAACGATCATTCCGTAGGCTCGTTCGGTAATCTTGCAAAAAACACGAAAAAAAAAACACGGGAAAAGACAACGAACTACAGAACCATATAGCCACATCTTTGCAATTTGGTCCCCTCTTGGTCCCGGAAGTAGATCGATGCAAGTAGCTTCGCTGATACGTTACATGCCTAAAATTACTACCGCGTACCTGCCACGAGGTACGGCATACAGTCGCGATGATGGACGTACGAAGTGACGTGACACGTGTACACGACCGTGGGATAAACCGCGAGATCTCGTGTGAAATGTATGAGGCATTCTCGAGAATGAGGCATACTCTCTGCGAGAGGGGGGGGAGGGATGTTTGTTATACATAGAACACATTTAATAATGAAGGTGGATGCTATTCCTAGTCGGATACCTCGGTGTCGGGGTCGAGATCCCGCGTGGGGGTCGATGCGTTACTAGCAGACGCCGAATGCGCCCCGGGTCTGTGGGTTCTTCGCGGGTCGAACGGATCTACGACGATCTGCTCGGTGCCTTTAATCTCAGCTCGGCAAAACGGACAGCCCTGTCCTTCGGAATCCTGCAATCCGATCGAAGCACAACGTTAACGCACGCATGTATCATCGTAAAAACCTTCTGTTGTCGTAAATAATGAAGCAACAAGAGATATTTTTATCATAGCAATGTTTTATACGCCAAAGTGTAAAGCTGACTGTGAGTCAAACTAAATTATTACAGAAACATTTATCGATCGCTGAGAAGTGGAGATAAAGCTGGTAAGAGATTATATACTGCTACCTGCCAAGCTGTAAGGCATGGAGTACAGAGAAGGTGGCCGCATGGTTCTATCCTTACGTCCTTGTCATGCTCGGCGCAGATCTTACACAGCTGGAATGTGCTACCCATCTCGCAATATAATTCGTACTGTTCCGCCGTCACTTTGATGTGCTCCTCCGGCGTCGGTTGCACCGCCCATGTCAAGTCCGGATTTATATTTCGGCCGTCCGGGTATAAGTAGCTGCAAATCGATCTTCGAATATGTATTCGTGAAATCTTTATGGTACGTAAACCTGGACAGGTAAACGGCAATAACTTGGCCGGTATAGGTCAACGGTATACTCACAAGCCTTCCCGGTAGCCGTCCAATAACGCTTGGCATAAACTCTTGTTATGCGGTATAGTTTGTAGGATATCACCGTCAGACGTGACGTAACCGATTGCCCATTGTCCCAGCCTCGTGCAACTTAACCGAAATACGTAGCTCCCAGGCTTGGTAATGCAATATTTTTGCAAACGGGCTTTCACCTCGTCGTACGTGAGGAAAGCCACGTAGCCAGGATGCGTCACAGCCAGAATTTTCCAATTTCGCAGGAGAGTCGACCACGGTTGAAACAGCCTTGAAAAGTCGCACAACGTATTACAAGTGTATCCAAGATGTGCGAGACTGACTCGGAATCGTCACGACCGAGGCTCGATAAAGCTAAGTTAGTTGGCTATAAATTTGCGCTTACCTCGTGAATACGTCGAATTCAAAGTTGGAAATGTAATCGTTGCACGTCAAATCTATCGTGGATTTCAGTGCCATCGCTTGTAGTCCCGAGCTAATTGGATGAACCTGATTCAACTCGTGTCTGAACACCTTCCACGGTACCAATGTACTGAAAGCAGATTAAAGAATAAGATTAAAAAATCATTCTTCCTTATTATACATAGGATTAAATCATACGACTCAATAAATAATTTTTAAGTGTACCTTAGAACAATTATAATAGATCGATCACTTTTTTATTCTAGATTAGTTTTTATATACATGAGTTTTATATTGTATTAAGTTGTTACAAAAGATCATATTTGTCAAACGGGGTAAGAAGTAAAATCGAAGTAGAATTATATATCATGTGCAAAGTGAATTCTTTTATTCATTTTCAAAAGCTTTTTTTTCCAGAAAACTTTTTTTTTAATGCAATAAATGACGATTTTTTACATCGACATTCCCGCTCCAAGATTCGTCACAGAATTCGCTGTTAAGATTAATATCGCGAATTATGAAACGTTTACGTTTCGTGAGCCTCTTCAAATTATTAACTCCATGCGCGTCCAAGGATGACTTCAATCAAACTCTCCCCCGACCCTATTAACTTTATACTAACTCCAATTAACTTGGTCACTAATTAAATTAAATTATTTACAGTAAACTTTCTAGTCGCATTATTTGCCATCCGTAATTTCTAATTTTTCTTTTCGCGTATCAAACAATCAAGTATTGATCGAGTTGATCGAAATTCGTTCGAAATAATTCTAAGAATGACTCGTGTTGTTCCTAATCCAATCTTCTTTTCCATATTAAATAAAAAACTAAT